GCACACGTAGCACGCATGCGCCTTGAGGGTTACGGAGCTTCGCAAGCCGGTGTGCGAACTCTGTATTTAGCTCTTGCTCTGGAGCAGTCCCCATCGAGCCCAGCAGGCGTGATCGAGAGCCTAGCGCAAGCTGCATGATGCAGCATGTGCATGAGGGGTTTTGAGTCTTAACACGACGGGCCAGCAGTACCCGTCTCTCCGGGCCCTCATCGAGGCGGGCAAGCTTAATTCTTGCCTAGCGTACGTGCACAGGAGCTGTGACTGTGTATGCGTCGAGTATCCGACTGTCGCTCAAGCTTGCTCTTGCTATCACCGCGTCTTCGCCCTCTTCACCGCGATCACACGTACACGATTCAAATCTCGCTTGAAGCTTCTGCGGATCGCAATTGCATCAAAATGCGCACAGGAGCCCGCAGCCCGCAGCCGTTGCGCGTTTCCATTGCAACGGTCGCTATGTGTTGCTCTCGCCCCCCTCGACCCCTGGCCTCTGTGCTCGTCTTTCGGAAACCTCGGGCGCTTTGCCCGCGTTTGCTGCCGTCGAGCCGCAGTCACAAGAGTCAGACCGTCATTGGCGCTCTGCCAGCCTCAGCCCGCCCGGCCGGCCAACCTGAAGAGGGCGGGCCCGAGATGCTATGCCGCCACCATGAGAGTCATTGACATGCGCAGACAAATACACTTTTGACTGTGGCGAGTTGCGTGTGTGCTTCTCTTGGCAGGCAAGGGCGATGAGCAGACGCCGTAGACTGGACATCGAGCAGCAGCTCTCGGCGGATCACACGCACAGGCACATCTGCGCGCGTACTTCACCTAGCCCGCCCGCCTGTGCCAATTCCGCACTCGGACTCTTTCCAATCTGTAATCAAGGCCCAACTCAACATTGTACTGAGCCGCTTCGCCGCCTGATGCCGACCTGATTAGCAAGCAAGTGCCAAAGTGCCCATGTTTCCCATTTAGGTTGGGCGCCATGCTCCCACAGACGACTTGCACGTCTGGACTTTGCGTTCGCACGCATGATGCTGGGAACTGATCGCCATGCCAGCTCTGCATAACGTCGTCAGTTGACCGGCGCAGAGACCGCTTTGAACGGAACGGAGCGAAATGCGTATTGCCCTTGACCGGACCCGCAGTGCCTTCAGTCTGCTCTCTCACTGCTCAAGCGCAAGAAGCCAAGAGCGGAGACAGGAAGGATCGCCAGCGTCAGGTATGCAACCGCACCGCTCTCAACGTCCCACAACGCACATTCTGCTCCTCACCTCCTTGCCCAACGGCATAAAGAGCAGCTTCGCCTTCAAGCAACGCCCCGATCACCCACTTCATTGCCCACAATCGACGTTGCCCTCCCAATCTCTCACAACGACCGTTCGTTGCTCCACATCCTCCTTTACACAAACAACACATTCAACTGAAGTGATCGGCAGTCTTCCCCGACATTGACATTGCTCTCTCGTCTGCCATACCACCACTCCACCCCATCGAGTCCAAGCACATCTTCGTCACCATCGGCCCCCATATAGCTTAGCACAAGTGAGTCGGGTCTTCGAACCACCTTGGCTTCATTCTACTCACGTAAGGCCTCAACATGCGCTCTAGACACACACCTACACACCAACCATGTCGGCCACAGGCTTTTATGATGCCTCCAGCTTGGCAGAACGTCGTGGATGTCAACCTCTGACAACATCCACCCAGCTCGCAAGGTCCATGACGTTGCCGGAGCAGCACGCGAGACCCGAAGCAACTTCTCCTTGGGAGCAGAACGGCGCTTTGCCGCCCACCAGTGCACCGCCGTACCCCTACGCTCACTCATCCTTGTATCACAGTGCTCAGCCGACTCAACAACATCAGTTAGCTATGCAGCAGCCTCAGTATTCACACATGTCCGTCCCACACTTCAACATGACGCCTGCGACTGGTATTCGAGCGGAACCTCCTCCCATGCGCCGTAGTGTCTCCACCCACACCAGAGCCGAAGCTCGAAGCTGGACACAAGAGCAAGACAATCGTCTTCGAGCAGCAATCGCTCAAGTTTCTTATGAGAGCAAGCACAACGGCAAGACTGGCAGCACATCGCTCGACTCGCCTGACCTCGGGTCTCACCCGACGACCAAGCCTTGGGCACGCGTCATGGCCCTCGCCTTCCCAAGTGGCGAGCACTCGAAGGAAGAATGTCAATCGCGCTGGAAGTCGCTTCACCGACCCCCCGCTGTCAAAGGAGCTTGGTCTAAAGCCGAAGACGATCGTCTCCTCCGCCTAGTTCGTCAGCATGGTGCTGAACGCTGGGTTGTCATCGCTCAGCATATGGGCTCTCGCAGTGGCAAGCAGTGCCGCGAGCGCTGGCACAATCACGTGGATCCGTCCATCACACGTCGACCCTTCACGCCAGAGGAGGATGCCATCATTTTGTCCCTTTACAACACCATCGGCAGCAAGTGGGCCGAAATGAGCAAACGTCTCAAAGGCAGGCCAGACAACTCCATCAAAAATCACTTTAACACGACATTGTCCCGAAGACGCATGCTTGCTGCCGCCGTCAACAAGGCTTCCAACCTCACCGACGAGGCGCAAAACAGCCTTCAAGGCACGACGCAGGCCAGCGCTGGAGGTGTGGCTATGACTAGCACGTCATCGTCCAGCTCTTTCACCTCTAGCCACGTGCCAGCTACAGAGACCTACGAGGACTCGGGCTACTACTCGTCCAACAGTACCCCAGTGCACAAGCAAGAGTTGGTCCCAGACGCCTACTTTGGCGGTGGAATGCAAGCCGGTTTCGATGCTCGTCGTTCATCAGCGCTCATTCTTAGCCGTCAACATGGCCCCGTCGCCAGCTTCGGAGGTTCTCACGCTCAGTACGCTTTCCCTGCCGACCTCGATCCCTTCGCCTACACTGGAAGAGATGGCATCGTGTACAGGCACAACAATGCGGGCCCACAGGGCTTGACTCAGAGCCAACCTCACCGCGCTTCGGTTCCAAACTCCTTTGTCTACTCTCAGATGGCTCGTCCCGACGTCGAGCACGGTCTCACTAGCTTGCAGCACGGTGCAAACATCAACTACAGCTCTCTGCAACAAGCTGGCAACAGTCGCATTCCCGCACCGATCGACTACGCCCAGCCTGCAGCGCCCGAACTGGCTCAATACCAGCAGCTTCACGGTCAACATGCAGCGTTGTGGTCGAACGCACCTCAAACCCAGCAGCATTTCCGCTCCCAGTATGCGCAAACGCCAGGTAGTGCGCAAACCAAATCAGCGTCTCCGTCGAGCGCCAGCGACAACCTCGCCTACCATTCGACTCCACGTCGCAACGTGTCCGGCGAGCAGTCCTTAGCAGAATCGCTCTCTGCCTGGCAAAGTGTGAATGGTGAACGCGCTCTTCCACCTTTGTCCATGGTTGCTACTGGGACCGCCACTCCGTCGACTCCCAGTCGCGCACGCGTTACCTCTGTCATGAGACGTCTGACATCTTCTGCTTGCGGCACTGTCACGACCGACGCTTCGCAGGCTGGTACTGCCAATGCCGCTCTCGCCATGGTCGACGTCGACGAGGGACAGAAAGCTGCTTTGCCACCTCTTTTCCGCCAGGCTGCGCTCAACACCACTCCAACGCAGCGTGGCTCCATCTCGGGCCAGTCTCCGGCCAGCAGGACTCCGAGCTACGGTTCTGAACATGTTCGCTCGACCACGAGACGAAGCTCCGGCCCGCTGGCACAGGAGAATGAGTGGCATCACGAAAGGCAGCACACTGCACGACCACCAGCGGCCGACGAGGTACACGGCGCTGGATCCAGCCTGGACGCGACAGAAACGCACGACAACAGCGCCGTCAACGGCCAAGAGTCCGAAAGCGACGCCGATCCCAGCGGCAACACCTCGGACTGCCCCGACGGTACGCCCGCATTCACCACCGGCACTGCCTATTTCGCTCAGCGCGACGGTCTCAGCATGCCAGGCAGCGCCATGACTGCTGCCAGTAGTCTTCTTCCTTCGCCCATGGACTGCATGAGCGACAACGGCGGTGGTCCGGTCAATGACTACTTTGCAACCAAGGACAACGCAGCAGTCATGGACCGTCATGTCCAGTACAGCTTGCAACAGGGTGCCACGGGTGTGCCACATACTGGCTTCTCGCCCTACAACTTTGTCCAGCATAGCTCGATGGGCCTTTTCTTGGATGAGAACGAGAGCCGAGATGCCTGAAAGTCACCCGCACGCTGTCTGATTCTTCAACCTGTGACCCATCTCCTGCAAGTTCCGAGTATAGTCATGCGCGACCTGCCTAAGCCTCGCACGCCTCTCTAGGCAAGTCCCATTATGTATAGATTAGTTATATTCCTGTATGCACTTATTACTAGAGTTCACCTGTTCCATTCTGCCAATCAAGCGGCCCTTGAGTCCGCAAACGCCATCAGACACAGCATGCAATCTTGAATAGCATTCTCCATCATTCCTGCCATCTATTCAAGCGCTCGGCTTTCAAGCCAGGGGTGTGAGTGTCCGTGTGCAAGCTTGCTGCTGCCCGTGCGAGATATTGATTGAAGCGACGCTCGCCTGAAGCAAGCAGACGATGAGCAACAGATGCGCTCCGGGTGGCTCCGTGGTACGTCCCTACCATGCAAATTGTACCACAAAGCTTCGCATTGCCCCTTGCGCGAAGTCCATGCCTTTAGGGGGAGAATCCGCTGCGCGAAGACCAAGAATAGCAAGGGCTGATAAAGCGGCAAGGTGAGCACGATAAGCTCGTCGGTCCTCACCAAGCCGAGCTTGCCGTTCGTGACTCGCTGCCGTGCATGAGTTCACCTTTGAAGCGGGCTTCAAATCCCATCGGGCTACTTTGATGCTATCAGTCCGAAAGCAGGAAGTGATGATGTGCTAGGTATGCGCAAGGCCCGTGTCGGGCCCGAGCGACGCACCAAGTTCGAACGCACTGTGCGCTGCCCGAGGCACTTTCTTCTGCGCAAACGTGTGCTCCGCACCCCGCTTGGCCATGAAGCGTTCATCTGCTCGGAAACCCCAAACATCGGACCACTTCGCACGCGCTGCAGCTGGGCCGGTACACACCAGCAAACTCAGATCTCGCGCCTACAATCAACAAACTTTTTGGCATGAAAGAAAGCGACCATGCAAGCCGCTGCGGGAAGCCCGATGCACCTGCCACCTGCGAGTTGTCAGGAGGTTCATCCGGCCGTGGGCTGTGAAGGCGCGTAGACGCGCGTGGGAAATGCGACTCCGATCGAGGCTTGCTCGGCAAGAGAGTGAGTGAGCAACATGCAGCCAGCTATAGGTATAGCCAGCCTGCCAGCCTGTCGGTCTGTAAGGCATTCATCATGACTGGACATCCACGAGCAAGTAGTGTACAAACTGTGGCACACGTTCCCTCGGCTAGACCTCAGCCTGTCTGTCCCGCATCTTGCCATCCTTGGTTGAAGAGGAAGCAAGCGAGGCGGTTCAACAGGGAGCCTGCTTAATGATCGATGATCCCAGCCCCTCGATCCGGGCCTGCGACTCACATTTCGGTGGGAATGTCTCACGCTCCGATCGCGACGTTCAACGGCGATGCATCGATTGGTGATTGACAGCATGCATAGCCCGGACAGCACCCATGATTAATCTGAATCAAGAATGTCAAATCATCCGAATCGTGAATGAGCGACAGCGCCTGTCTCAGTCTGTAGGCGTATTGCGTCATCGGGCTGTGCATCTAGCTTTGATCGAGCACAATGAGTGAGTCACCAATCAAGAATGCTCGAGCAGCTCTTCGTAGGTGTTGCGATATTCTTGATTCTGAAACACAAATCATCACCTGCTCGGGCAGCTTCCTGAATCGTTCATTCACGTGATCGACTCGAATCTCTTTTTCAACATTCGACTTTGAATCCTGACTCAAAAGTGATTCAAGAAAGGCTCTGATGTTAAGGTAGGGTGGAGATTTGGACCACACCTCATCGCCCGTTACATGAAACCGTCTCGTGCGCAGCTACTTGTGATCATCTACGTGATGGTCTTTTCATTGAAACGTCGGCCGTACACTGCCTTGCGACGCGTCACATGTGAGCTGTCTGCTGACCAAGGATTGAGCGGAGTGCGCGCGCCGCACGCTCGCGACGCGCTTGCTGGCGCATCAATTTGTTCGCGGTATAATGAATGCCCACGCCTCGTCTCCCTCACCGGGCCTATATCGCTGCAATCATCTATCTCACCAGCACGACTTAACCGTTCGCAATGCTCAATCGATGACTACATCTGCCAAATTGTCGGTGAGGAGCAACTTGCTGCAGTGCACATGGTGTCGACGCGAGCGGCGCACACGAGCCTTTGCCGAGCGCAGCCCCGCGCTGGCAACGCTCCGTCTAAAAGCGGCGCTGCCACCAAGCGCCATTCAGAGCCGGACGACAACGTCGAGGAGCGGAGAGAGCCTTCCGGACTCCGATCACCCGGTCGTAATACCGCTGCAAAGCTCGGTGCCCCAGACTTGAATCGCCATGCGACCGGCCCTGCTGCTCCAGAAGCCCCGTCTAGCCCTCCGAGTCCACTCATCTCGGCCCATACAACATCCGCATCCTTGAATGCGGCGCTGGCCTCTCTGGATGATTTGCACAGGCAGGACTCACATGGAAGTACAGTTCAGCCACCCGTCGCGCCAAGGCGCCTCTCCGAGGCATCTCTCAGCAACTCAGACTTGTGCACAAATCGCCTGCAGAGCACCTTGGGGGGACAAGCAGCGGTGGCACTCGCTCTTGACAACCAGGATGATATCCGTAACCCTTGTAGCCGTCGATCCGTGTCTACGTCCGCCGCGTGCGTTGGGTCAGAACGCCGAGCAAGTGATACCGGTGATGGAAGCTGGTCCATCAAGCACGCGCCATTTAGCGCTCGGCCTCGACGCCAGCAAACACCTTGGGCAGTGAGACCTTTGGCAGGAGGTCCCTCATTGGAAGAGATGAGAATCAAGAGGCGTCGGACGACACCTTGCGCCTCTAAAAGTGAAGCGCAAGCTTGTGGCAGTGCGAAGCCGACCGGTCTCGAAAGCTTGGATCAATCTTTAACAGAGCCGGGGAAGGCGACTCCCGTGGTCCGCACTCAAATCCCTGAACCCAGCACACCTACATCAGTGGAAAGAGTACACGCTGGCAGAATGGCGCATGGAGTGCTTGCAGCTGCAGCAGGGCAGTGGAGGCCTATTGATGCTTGGACTCAGGAAGGCTTCGGTGCTGGACGCTGCCGCTCAGGGCCTTCTCACGACGTTTCCCAAGTGGTTGTAGAGTGCAGAGCAGAAGCGACTGCCGAGGACGTAGGCATGTGTGCCAATCAAGGATGCGCTGAAGCGCACTTGCAAGTAGGCTCTGAGTACGGCGCTTTGGTCAGCATGCCATCAAAGGCAGTATCCCAAGCTCTTGTGGCGCCGTCAGGTCTTTTGGCTCCGCCTGGAGAGGGTGAGCCTCCACGCTCACAGACGTGTGGGGTGTCACCGCGCTTCGCGGTCTTGCCTGATGATCCGACCCCGCGACCCAGCTGTTCAGGGAATGACACGAAGGGTCATGCCAGGAAAGACGCCGCTACTGATAGAGCCCGGCCCATTTGCGAAATCGGTATATCGGCACATGACGAATTTCGGACGACTTCTACACGCGCTGAGGCCCTATGCACTGGACGCAAAGGAATCAGACTCGGCGCTGGCAGGCCTCCGCCTCAACATGCACATTTTGAAGGCGTTCGCTTCATGCCGCCCGCGGATCGCAGTCATTTGGTGCCGATGCCATTTGACGACGAGCTATCGCTTGTCACACTGCAGACCTCGAGCCCCGATCCCGATCTCAGTCTACTTCAACAGTCTGCCAGCAAAGAAATACCACGCGAGAGTCCCGCATCGACACAGCGAGCTTTACCCGACGCCACCAACATCACAAGTCACGCCAACCAACGTGCGTTGTCAAGCTCTCGCGCGCCGAATCAGGCCGATGAGGAAGTCGCCGAGCCGACAATCAGCCGCAGGGCTCATCTACGCGCCCTCAAAGAAGCGCAGGAGCATTTCAAAGCTCAGTTGGCGAAAGAGATAGCAGATCTAAGAGCTCGGGTCTCCAGGCAGACCGACTTCCAGTCTCCTTCAGCAAGTCGTCGTGGCCCGCCTGGCGACTTTCGTTGGACCACTACCCAAGACCTCGTTACTGACGTCACCGATCCCAGCACGGGCGGATTAGAAGATGTGCAGGTAGGAGCAGGGGATGCTGCAGAGGAGCGTCCCGGCTGGAAATCACGCATGTTCCCGCGTATAGGATTTGCAAAACAAGACCAGATCCGCCACGCCGCGTTGGACAGTGAACAGCACCATGCAGGCAGACCAAAGAGGACGCCATCGCCCCCGCCGTCTTCCGAGGCACCTGGCACGGTATCCGAGACGGAGTCCGAAGGAGTGCACTCAACAAGCGATGCCTCGTCACCAGCAGACAGAGAAGTCAGAACCGCTCATCGAGTTACCTCTCGTAACATCCCACCTCATCGCAACGCTGCTAGTGCCATGCACAAGGTATCGAAGACGAACAGCAGAATGCAAATTCCGACCAAGGGCGGCAAGGCTGCCACCACAAGCAAGGTCGTCGCCCCGGAGAACGATAGCGTCACAGAATCTGACGAAGACGATCCCTCTGTCTCCCATTTGCATAGTCGGAAACATCACCCGGCAAAGCGCAGTCAGCGCCCAAAGGCTGCTCGTACCTCCGCCAAAGACTCTGCTGCTGGCCGATCCGGCAAGCGCCCTTCGAACGATGCGCCATCGAGCAATGCCACTATCGAGAGAGAGACAGCATCTGCCTCAATAAGATCTCGATTTACCGATAGGTCCTTCAGCGAGCCAAACTTGCTTAGTACCGCTGGCAACGAGAACGCTTCGGCACCGAGCAGTCAGCCTGCGCGACGCGCTCAAAAGAAAAAAATGGTCAAGTCTGGTCTGCCGTGCGTTGCCTATATAGATGCAATCTGTTGGCGATAGACATCGCAGCTTACGCTGTCTTACTCCTCTCTCTTCTGCAGCATTTTTGCTGACTGTACCTTTCTCATCGTCGGAGAGTACGGCAGACGAGTCAAGACCTTCGGAGAGCTGGTGAGGCGCGCCTTTTAAGGGTGATATGCACGTCCAACTGACCTGCTGCTGCTTCCACAGGCATCTCGTCACGGTGCTTCCATCGTGCACGACTTCAGCATTGCTTCTCGCCTCATCGTCACGCACATCATCGGCGTTCCCAACACAGGAGAGCAAGGATCGGAACGCGAGATTGCAAGCTGGGCGCGCGCTTTGTTCCCTGCAGAAGCTGAGCTGATTCGGCTCGGTACCGACGTTCGGGGCAGACCAGAGCTGCGTGGAAAGCATTTCGTGGACGTGCGATGGATGGAGCAATGCATACTGGTGAGTGGCCACGCTGTCGAACCCTCGTGGCTCTAGCGAGGGAAGCAGGTCGCATCAAGTGCTGACGCTGCAGCTTTTGCCGTCTTCAGAATTGTCTTCGCAAGGAGCAGCTGCTCTGTGCTGCTCCGTATCGTGTACTGTAATTTGCGCTTCTGCTGTAACATCTCACACCGTGTAGTATACCACCTTGACACTCCACACAGGCCCAATTTACAACTCCTTCACAAAAGCCGGACGACATCGTTTGTCGTAGGCCAAAAACGGCGCGTCTGACATGCTCTCCTGATGCGCACAAGTCACATTGGAATGTATTGATATTGGCACTAGCGTAGAAATTTCGCACATGGGCGATGAGAGCGGCCGGGCGTTGGGGATAGTTGGGTGATACAAGCGATATTAGTCAAAGTTGGGTCTGTGGGATTCTTTGCGTCTCTTGATGGGCGCGGGCTCTCGACTCTTAGGTGGATGGGTCGCTCTTCGCGCGTGGATGCGGTTTCCGGTCTTGCAAGATCGCGGCCTCATCTCAACCAGACGCCTCTACAGCACTTCCAGTGGCGCGATCCAATCTGCGTTTGATAAGCGCATCTGATCCAGTATACTCTCAAAGTCAGCATGGCAAGACACAAAGGTCCTCGCGCCGTCCTTTACTCACACTCTTTGGAGATGCTGGTCGAAGTGGCCCATCCTTGTTCCGGCCACAGCTCTGCAAGCCTTGCCCAAAGCATCTTTCGGGATGAAATGTTAGATGAATTGGGTTCGCCCCCCTCGATGACACTGGAGTTTCTCGTGTCAGTTTTTCCTCTTCGGCACGATGTTCGGCCAGCCAAACGTTGTAATCTGCATCGCACTCACATCTTCTCATTTGTCAGCTCGCTCATAGCATCATCGATGGTGACACAAATGGCCACCTCGTATTTCATCTGATCTGACCAGCGCCACTTCTTCTCTGGCGGACCTGCTAAAGAAAAGGGCGCGATCGTCTCACCGACGAATCAGACAAGAGCGCACACAAACGGGCCTCGCAGCGTTGTCTCCTCACCTTCTTCAGGGCTCGCGTGATTGGCATCGTCAGGCCCGTTCGTGCCAGACGAGTCCATAGGGTCTGGAGAGCCTCGATGACGCCAGCCTGCGAGGGCAGCCTCATAGGCTTGCTGGTGCTCTGGCATGGCAGCTTCAACGAGCGTCTTGAGCCTGTCCATGTGCTCCGACTGCAGCTCAGCAAACATTTCGATGTGCTTGAGATGAAACTCGCGCTTGGTGAGTTTCTGAGACGACAGATATGAGAAGATGTCAGATCACTAGACGAGCCGGGACAACGCGATTGAGCAACGTCGGTCGAGGCGACTTACGTGCATGGTGAAGCGATTGTATGGGAAGAGATTGGGAAGCCAATGGAAGAAGTTGTCGTTGTACTCTCCAAGCTGCACCGCCAATCCGGCAAAGTCCACCAGCGGTGGTCTGAGGCTAGGTGGAAATTTGCTTTTGTTACTCCAATCTGTAGCATCAATCTGTTCCTTCAACTTGTTGATGGCGACCTGGAACCTCGGATCGACTGCGGCTACAGGATTCTTGTTGGTTTTCGTGAGACCCAAGTGGTTGCTACGGTCGAGGATCTCCTTGTAATGATTGCGAGCTGGCTTGTCATCTTCATCGTCGCCGTCCACATCCACAAAAGTGATGGGATCCGCCTGTGTGCCGGGAGAAGACTGGCCTCTTGCTGCGTGAGAGCCATTCAGCAGACTATCCATGCCCATAGCACTGCTGCTTCGAGATGATTTCATCTTGGCGTCATCATCACTCTGAGGAGGCAAAGAAGGAAGCAGATCCTTGTCCAGAGCATACTTCGCAAACATACGGTTGGCAAAGTACGACATATTCGTCGTGCTGCCACTTGCTCCCGTGCTAGACCCAGCGCCGTAGTAGACTCCAGCTGCAGCGACGGAAGCTGCAGAGTTCGCGGCAAGCGTGTGCGCATTCGTGGTGCCTGTTGCCTCTGTGGCCGAGTCTGTTCCTTCGACACCGGTCGCGCGTATAGCTTTTGCTCTTGGGCCTCTCGTCGATTTTTTCGGCTCTTCAATCAGCATCACTGGCCCGATACTGACGTGAAAGCCCTCCACTTGAGGCCGGCCTCTGTGAGTGGGCTCATCGTAGAGCAGCTCGGAATCATCGACGAAGTCGTCCTTGACGTCGTATTTGTTATCCCCATCCACTCGCTTCCTCCTCTGCCTTGGTGCTGCTGCTGCTGCTGCTTCATCTGGTTGATGCCTGTTCAGCAACCCTCGGAGCTCGGGTGGAAGGTCATCCACGCCCTCATTACCAGGAGGCGCTGGAACAGAAGCTGGAGGCGCTAGGGCAGAAGTCGAGGTCGAAGCAGCGTGGCTGCTCCCACTCGCCTGTCGGGGATCATTGTTGGCGCCCACAGCCACCGTGGAAGGGTCTTGACCTGCTTTTGCCTTTTCCAGCCAATAAACAGCCCAAAGACCGCCGCTTCCCTTTAGACTTTCGAGCATCGTCTCGTGAACGTCGATCAGGTAGTCTTTGTCATCTTCCGTTGGGCGGTCAAGAGGAGTCGCCTTCAGAGCAAGACGCATGGAGGGCCTGGGTGGCGGTGCGGGCGGCAGCATGGTGCCCGGCGACGGGGTTCGGTCGAAGCGGCGCCGTCTCTTGACGGCAGGTCTATGAGGTGCACTGGCAGTGCCTTGAGCATCAGGCTCCTCAGCTGCGTCATTCGTACCTCCCTGCCCCAAAGATCCACCGCCGCTGCTGGCATCTCGATCATGCGCTCGCTTCTTGGTCGTGTGTTCCTTCGCTCCAGTGCGCTCACCGTCGCGTTGCGAAGGCGTAGAAGACCTAGCTCGACCATCACCTTCACGGTCGATGCTACCTTCGATACTTCGACTGCCATCGCTATCGTCATCATCGTCGTCGTCGTCATCATCGTCTTCTTCTTCTGCTTCTTCGTCCTCTTCCTCTTCTGACTCCCCACTTTCACCCTGTGACTCGTCGTCCTCGTCTTCATCCATGCCCTGACTACCTTCGATAGAGCTGCCATCTTCCTGCTGGTGCTCGACGACCTGCTCAGCTCCATTGTGACCGGATTCTGCATTAGCAGCAGCTTCATTCCCAGCCATGGTGCTCGCGCTCTGATCTCCATCAGCGGACCTGGCGTCATGATTGCTTTCCGAGCCCGTGTCTTTTGCGATCAATGCCGAAGCTTCGCTAGAGCTGTGGAGAGGAGACTTCGCCTGCTCAGAACTTGGATCAGCTTCATGATTGGCACTCTTGCTGGAGTTGATGACGTCAGCGCGAGCAGAGCGCGACCCCGACGATGACCTGAGACGATTCTCATGCGTGGAGCTCTGCCTTAGACGGGTCGAACGAAGGCGTGTCGGCTGAGATGTGCTACCCGATGCCGGACTGCTGCCTGGAGTCAGAAGTGCGCTCAGATTCATGTTGACCTGTGTCCACTATAAGCCGAACGCAATGGGATGAAGAGCACGGCTTCTGTAGGCGCGGACGCCCGCGCTCTGGCCAGCGGTGAGAAAGGAAGGATGGTCAACAGCGTGTTCTCCTTCATGGTGCTCGGAGAGACCAAGGCAAGAGGTGATCGGATTAGAAGCATACACGAACGAGTTCGAGCACAAGGCAGCCGCAATTGCACTGATGTGTGAGTCGTGAGTGTAGAGTGTTCGAGCTGTCCCCAATTGTGAACTCCAGAAGATCGCGTCGTGCAGACGCGTACGTGATCGGTCGGCGCAGGCGCAGGCGCGGGTGGATGGCGCCCCGCAACAGCTCTACGGGCGCGCGCGCGCGCGCGCATGCACCACCCTAACCATCAAGATGGGACGCTCCTGACCATACAGGACACCAACATTCAAGGATACAGCTCGAGCATCTCGGACTTGACTCTCAAATCATTCGAGATTGCAATTCGCCATGACAAACACCGCAGAGTGCTTCGAATTTTGGACTCACACAGAAAGTTGAAATCTTCAGGCACTGATATCGCTTGGGTATGGAGCGTGCAATAGGAACCAGAAGAATAGGAATGGTGGATGCTGTGTGGTGTGTGATCAAAGACTGCTTGTGCGGTGCCGGGCTGCTGACTGCGCGCGCAACCTTTGAGGTGCGTCGACTGCGATGGCGAAACAGAAAGTGGTGCGAGGAAAGACGCGCGGGCGACGTTGTCGTAGGGAGCTTTCGAACGAGGAGCGCAAGCACGACCTGCGATTCGCGCTCGTGGTGGTGAGAGAAGAGGATCAGAGGGGCAAAATTCTGTCAAGGAAGGGGGAGGCCGAGGAGACAAGTCATGGATGGATGGGTCTAGATCATCTGTATGCTCGCAGTCAGAGGACAGATATGTGCGTCAATTCTTTCGGACTTGTCGAACCTCGGTCGCGTGCAACTCGAGCTGCCCTGACCGCGAAAGCGACTTGCTTTTCTATATTGCCTGGCCCCACGAAAGGGCTGTGTCCTCTAGACTCGCTGGCATCACAGGCATCTATCTGTAAGGGCTGAAATGCGCCGGAAGGAGGAGAGGTGCACGCAGCAATCACTGTGACTGCCGCGTCCGCTCACCGCCTAACACCCTGTGCAGCAGGTTGGCGTGCGCCAAGCAACACGCGCGTTGCTGTCGCGTGTCTGTCACGCGCTCTTCTTGCGTCTGCCTGCTCACCTCTCACGCTTGCAGCAGCATCGTGACTCCGCGAAGGGCAAACCGGAATCGCTGCACCCACCCACTCAGTTTCTGAGCGCAAGCAAGCTTGGCGAAGCAGGTCAGGAGGGCCAGTTGCTGTTCCGCGACCACACTTCATCATCATCATTGATCCTTCTCGGTTTGTTACCGTTGCGAGTAAAGGTGCGCCACGACACCATCAAGCATGCAGCTACACACGGGAGTTCTCCGCTCTGAAGCGGAAGCGCGCCGGGCATGCGCTGTATGGTGGCACGCGCGGCGGTGTTTTGCGCCATGCGGCAGCCGGTCCACGCAAGCGTGTAGAGACAGCACCGGCAAAGGCACAATTAAGAGGCATGACACGATGGCCGCGCGGTATATGATGCCGGTCACAGCTATCCATATATATACACACTTCAATCTGAATCGGTCTTCTCGTGGGCACACGCCAACCCTGCAAGCAATGTGAGCGTGTGCATGATCAACAATCACAAGCCAACACCGAACGCGGCTCGCTTCTCTAAGTTGCAAGCCAGGAAAGCTGCCAATAAGGAGCATCGAGGCGATCCATCGGAGGGAGAGTCGGAGTCGCACGAAACGTACCGCAGAAGTCAAGATTCGAGACATTGCGCCCAGTGTGGAGCGCGACAGGCGCCAACTACCTCGTACGCAGGCTCAGTGACACTCTTGAACGCAGCTATGACGTCGAGCGCGAGCTCGAGGCCTCTCATCCTGTTGTGAATGAGCATGGGTAAACCTGAGTCAGACCAAGCCATGTGTGATGAAAGCGGTCATACAACAGTAGATTGTCGCGCAGCACACTACTGCTTCCCTGCGCAGTGCATCCGACACCGGCAGCGAGAAGAGCCGGCTCCCTGCCATCGCAACAGGAGCTCATTCGAGTTCATCCTGGCCCACGTCATCTTCATCCTGGCCGAGCGCAGTGGTACTAGGTCTGAAGACTTGCAGCACGTTATCCTCAGACACCGTGGCCATGTGCCAGTCTTCCTGAGGGCTCCAGCAGATGTCCTGAGCGACGTGAATGGCACACGTGGGGATGAGCCGAGCAGGGATGTCATTGCGCTCACAATTACATGACACTTACCGTTGTTCTGGCTGTGTGTCCGCCATGCACAAACAAGAGCTCAGGTGGGCCATCTTCTGCATCGTCGGGCGTTTGCTCTTCGCCGATCCGTGACAAGTCCCATACGTTGACTCTACGGTCTGCAGCAGCGCTAGCAAGTCTGTGCGTCGAGAAGAAGCAGTCATTCAGCTGCTGTGTATTACATGACCTTCGTCACATTTGACTCACATGGTTTCGTTGTGCGGCGACCAGGCGAGTTGCAGCACCTCATCGGTGTGCGCTTCCAATGAATGCAAGCGCGTCTTCGTATTCCTCATGTCCCACAGTCCAACGGTCTGGCCAGACGCAATAGGGGAGCAAAAAAGCTCGTCAGAAGACTTCAGACAAGGGTTGTGCGATCTGTGCTAACCGTCACTCACTTTGTCAGATGAGCCGGTGCAGATCAAGTATTCGTTCGCTGGACTGAACAGGACTGCATTGATTTCGCCATCGTGTGCAGTTACGCGATGCTTTGGTGCATCACCCGATTCGCGCGAGTCCCATCTGAGTTTGCATGTTAGAAGGATCAGCAAATCGTCCAAATGTCCGCCAAAGATCTTTGTCTCCCTTCACTGTGGGACTCACATCAACAACAGCTTGTCGTCGCCGACAGAGGCAAAGAGCGACTCGTGATGCGCGTGCCAGGCCACATCCTATTCGCAAGGGGAGGGAAAGGCTCAATTTGGTGTCGTATGACGAGAGAATGCCTTCTTTCGTCCCTCACCTCTACGACGGACGTGTGGCCTCTGTACACTTTGAGAGGGTTGATTGCTTTATCGATTTTCTTGTATTGGTTCACGTCCCATTCACAGACTGTCTCATCCTCCGAAGCAGCAATCAGATGCCCTTGAACAAGCGGCGACCAAGCCAAGCCATACCTATAGCCAAGCGGAATCTTCCCGTTGTCAGAGACATGCTCGCGCCACTCCACTGCGGGTTGCGAAACCCCCGCTGCTGGCACCGACTCACCCTTCTCCAGTCTGGCCTTTGCAAACAATGTCCGGCCTGCACTTTCCATCGGCATTGGGCTGCAAGCTGTGCTTGGTCCTGTCGAAGATGTACGTCTCGCCCATGACTGTCCTCGTCGCAATCAAATCGCAATTTTGCGGGCAGTATCGGGCCCGATTGAGTTCTCCATCGTGATTGATCTGCTGTACGATCTGTATGCGCGCATTTGCTCCGCCATAGGAGCCAATCTCTGTGGCGACTCTTGCGCGTGTCAGCCTCCCGTCGTTCAAGCTTGCATCGCCGGGCCGCTACTCAGCCCACCACTCGTGACGCTGCTCCTTCTTCACTCACCGCCCCTGTCCTCATCGTACTTGGACGAATCCACTTCTACGTCCTGATTCGGCAGATGCACCTGAGCAATTTGCACATAGTTTTGATCCTGCCCCGACGTATGCGTGCCAAGCAACAGTCGGTGAGACGTGTAGTCTTTTCCAGCAGGGCTGAGGAGTTTGCGTTGATTGCGCAGCGGGACCAAAAGGGTGAGCTCGAGTCAGCTTGTGCCTTCAGCCAGCGGGCCAGCCCAAACTCACCGCTCTCGGTCAGGGAACCATTGACATGTCAATGAAGGCCACTCGAGAGCGTGCGTGACCACCATGTCGTACAAGAAGGGCGCATTCTTCTTCCATACTGCACCAGAAGAAAATTGGGGTGGGGACATCAATGAGCGACGCGTGCCGCTTGCACCTCGAGCAGACGTCTTCTATGTAGCTATTCTCACTCTTGTACTCCTGTGAGCGCACAGGTGCGGATGCGACAGAGCGTGAGTAGAATGTCCGAGCCGGTCGACCAGCTCTTGAACCATGACGCTTCGTGTGCGTCTCGCAAGATCCCTCTTACTTACCTCATTTGTGACCTGAGCGGCCTGGATCTCCTCCTCAGAGCTCATGATGAGCGTTCTGAAAAGTGCACGATGTTTGAGTCTGCGCCTGGACAATAAGAATGTCTAACCAATCCTTCTGCCGTTCCTCTTCCGCGAGGCTCGGGCTTTGGCGCGGCGTCGTCGAAGACTTGGAGCTAGTGCGGGCTATGTGACTGGCTTGAGGTAGGACAGTCCTGCCACAAACTTCGAGACCGGAGACTGCGAGTTGTGAAAGGGACAGATCTTTTGGTGCCTGAGCGCGAGTCCAGTCTCCTTTGGCTGGTGCACAAAGTCCAATGCGCTTTCGAATTGTTGAAGGTCTTTGCTGAGGGCGCGTGGTCAGGCTTTGGGTGAGTGAGGTAGTAGATGCGGCGTTTCCCTGGACATGTGAACAAGGCGATGGA